GTAGTTTAGGGACAATTTAACCTCACTTTCGGTGGAAATTTTGGGCCCCTTGACCGATGACATGTTGACCATACAAGAACATATATCTAGAATTTTTTTTTTTTTACCCTTAAATATGTTTTTTTAATAAATTTGTTTTAAAAAATAAAAGTTAATTTTTAATTTATCAATTATTTAATTAAATTTATTAACTAAACACCAACACTAAAATTAATATCAACTTTCATATTTTCGTATATGTATTTATAATTAAAAAAATATTTTTAACTTGTACGTTGAAAGCACAAATTAAAAAAAAAAAAAACCTTTTTTGAGTTGATTTGTGTTGTTAGTGAATTGGTTTCTCATGGGAACTTAAAAAGCTCCAAATATGGAGTCTAAAAATGTCTAATAATATGCTTGATTAATTAGTTGGAGCTGTTAAAAGATTGTATTCATAGCCCGTTCATGAAAATGTGAACCCCATTCTTGTCCTCCATTTTTCAAATTTGATTACACATATTTTAAGACTAATATTTCTTTGGAATCCCTAAACTTCTCATTAACCATATAAAAGAATTAAATTTTGATCAATAAAATAAAGAATAAATGTTTTTACTAGCTAAGTCTCCACTCTATGGCAATATTTCGTCAATTGTAATGAGTATTCATTAGTTAAATTATAAAAACATATTAAAATCAAAATACTTCCACCATAAGAAAGTAGGAATAGCTAAGTCATACTGTCTATTTTTTTTTTTTTTACATTAGTAAAAAATCAAGAAATATATATTATTTTAAAAAATGAAAAAAATACATATTTCTTATTAATCTCTCTATTTCCCTTCTCTCCCATCTCCTTCAATTCTTTTAATAAATTAAATAGAAGAATTTTCTTTCCTCCTCTCTATTTCTCTAAATTCACACATATTATAACACTAAACCATTCCTTACTTTCTAAGACAATTTCTTAAACTTAACTCATTTCTACAGTTTGACTAAATAGGAGATTTTATCACCCTTCAAACATAATCTATAGGTTGTCCATTTTACTCACTGTATTAATTAACCCAAAATGTCAACTGTCATTAAAGAATCAGACGATTCACAATAAAAAAAATATATATGAGAGTTTTTTTTACAATTTTTTATTTAATAATAAAGAGTATATGCATGGTATACAACTATATATAGTTTACGCGGTCTTTCAACTAACATCAAGTATACAACCAATCAACCATACAAATATCTCAACTTTAACATAATGTAAAATATGTTTATATAATCGCTCAAGGGCCCTATTTGCAA